GGTTTGAGGGTTTTTTTTTGCTGTAATTAAACTTCTGGCTATCATTATTTTGGCTATCATTAAAATTTGTCCTAGTAAGGGCTAAAATCCCCAAACTTTACACTGCAGCCTTGATTGAATCCTGCACAGGAGCTATTGCAGTGCAGAATCACAACTCCAGAGTCAGTTAGGAGTTTCTCGTATCTGAGGGCAGAATTTAGCGTCTTGTGCTATTCCAGGCTTGGTGTTGGGCTCGTTCCTAATCATTGAGGAGGGTTCTGGTAGATGTCAAGTGAAGAGAGGAATAGAGCACGCATCCTTCACCACTCAAGCCAGACAATGAAATTAGAAAATGGCACTGAGAGTTGATGTGAGAGAATTCCCCTGGATTCCTAGAGGAAGAATAAAACAAGAATGAATTGAATAATAAAAAAGAAAAAAAAGGAAAAGTAGGGGGGGTGATGCAGAAAGGAAGAGGGTGGAGGGAGAAAATAAATGAGAGAAACCTTCCCAGAAGCCTCCTCAGAACCTATTCAATAATAAAGTCCAACATTAAAAGCTGTGTTGACTTTTCACATAAAGGCGCGTGTACTGACTGTTTGGTCTTAGTTTCTGCTTCTGCATTTTTCAAATCTCTTACCGAGCGTTTTGCATGCATATGATGTTTGCAGCACTACCCGCTCTTATTTGAAGACTGTTTTCAGAAGTCATTATTGAACTATAGGATAAAAAGGTATAAGCATAATTACGTGTTAAAGAGAATAAATATGTTCTGCTAGATAGTTAACCAGATGAGGTTAAACAAGATAAGATGAATTCTGGTCTTTTTAGGAAACTGACAGTCTTCATTTTAAGCTACAATGTAAAGTGCTTTATCCTGAGATTAGGTATTGTGGCAGAAGCTAAAACTGCCTTTTTCCCCTAACCGTGCCAGAATACAACCTCCTTTTCTTTTTGCGCTAACAAGACTGCTTTACCACCACAGCCCACTCTAAGTAATTAAATCAATCCTTTGTACTTACCGTATTCTCCTCTAGTGACGGTACTAGATCTGATTATATGCTTCATGCATATTCAAAGTACGGCACTGACAGCTCTTTAATGAGCTCTTACTTAATCAGTACGAACAATGTTCATCTTGTTCTTTTTTTCCTCATACATTAGAGCTAGGAACAGTTGGGGAAAAAATGAAACATCCAGCATTCATTTGAAAAATATATTGTACTTTGAAAAGTGTCTAAGCTGGGGAAGTTGCATTCTGCCCTTTAAAAGTCTGATGGACAAATTGGATTACTAGTATTGGATTAAATAACAAATGGTTAGAGGAGAAATGAGAAAAGCTCGCTGTGATCACAGGCTTTAATATTTTTTGTTACTTATAAAGCTGAAGGGGTCTTTAACCAGTTATTAAAGTCAGGATTAATTTGTAATGGTCCAACTTACTAGCTTTAAAAGGGTTTTGTTGTTGTTGTTGTTGTTGTTTTTTTATCAAAAACAATAGTGTAATGCATGTATTGTGGAAAAAATATAAGTTTAAGATCTGTCGGCTATTAATAGATTTTCATCATCTTGTACTGGCCCAGATAAGGGGTTTGCATGCATGGGATCGATTTGTTCCCAAACATGGTTTTTGCTTCATTTAAATATTCTGTACAGTATTTTTTTTTTCCCCTGAGAACAACACAGATATTTTCCCAATTCTAATTTTCGAGCATTCATAGCAAGTCAATTCAATACTTCTTTTACACTTGCAAAGTGGAAACAAGCCCCTCCCCAGCAGCAGCAGCATTTTGCAGAGTGAAACTGTGTTGAAAAAAGGCTTTTTCTGTTATTTTTTATTTCAAAATTGCAAACGTGAATTTAGCCTTGCAGTAGCGCTGCAGTGGCAACACTCAGTTTTTCTTTGTTGAAAGTGTTTCGTGTGCATCCTTCCACCAAGGGCGGGGGGGCAAGTGGTAATGCTCTGATAGTAATGCATTTGCTGAAAAGAGTTATTTAAATTTCTTATATATGGGAGTTCATCTTTATTTTGCTTGCCTGGGAAGAATCTGTTTCGGCTCCATGCGCAAGAATTTAAAAGCTGATGGTCAACACATAAAATATCAGCATTGACTGCTATTACTATTTCACACATGTGTCATTTCACTGATCAAAAAGGCCTTCGCCGGGGTACAATTGGCCTTTTTCCAAATTGCAAGCTTTTTCTCAGCTTTTTCTTTTTTACTCTTTCTTCTTTTGTTGCTGCCCGGGGATTTGTGCCTATCGCAGCCGATATCACATGACCGGTGTCAGGGCATCACATGGGTCCAAAGCGAATACAAAAACAGATTAAAAATTCTGTAAAAACAATCAAGACTTTGTTAACTCACTTTTAAACCAGCCTATTCCATGGATAGTGCGTGTGTTTTGGTGGCAGCAAGAGGCACCTGTTCAGATCGGACTCGCCAGCTCCAAGCTTTACCTACATCTTTTCTCATTACATGTTGCAGCTAACTTTATTTAGGAGGAATGCGTTAATAGAAAGAAGGTTTTATCTCAAGTTTGAGTCCTCACCCTGAGATTACATGGCGTGAAATTCAAGTTCAGGTCCACCACTGAGTCAGACTCCTTTGAAACGTTTCCGTCTCCCATTTCTTTTTCAAGGCGTGCAAGAGCTTGCATTTATAATGGCACCTTTTAGCCGGAGATCCCAGACCACCCCAAAACCCACAAATTTACTGTCATAAATTGATGAAAAAATAGCCAGATATATCTGGTTACAAGAACTTTTTTCACCAGCAGCTTGGCAATGTGGCAATCTTGTGCGTCACAGAATAGACTGGTCATTTTGCAGATTAAAAAGAACAAGTTATCCCCTTTTTATTGCCCTCTCCCCTAAATAAATTTCAGCTACTTGGTGCATGCCAACAAAAGGTTTTTAATATTGGTTACCCTCTACTTCTAAAAGCAGACCCTATTAGATGGACCAACACAGCAGCACCTTTGATCTGTAACTTAACAGCAAAGTATACCTATGCGTTTTAATCCTCTTTGGGGGAGTGCTGAACTGCTGAATATTATTGTAAATGCCATGGTGTAATAATGTCTGCACAAAACCAGAAGTGGAGGTCTTGGTGGAGAGCATTTCTACATGAGAAATTTCTTCCTGCATTGCTCCAGTCATCCAGGAGCTGGACTCTGCTTCTTCTGCTTGGAAAAGGGCTGCATGGCCATCCCTGCTTCAGGATGCTCTGCCCTTCCCATCTCACTGCTAGCAAATCATGTACCCTAAAAGCATGCTTTCAGGAACAGTTTTGTCAACCAGGAGTTTCCCAGGGTGATAAGTGAATATGGAGGGATGTCTCACATCAGAAAGGAGAACATGCCAGATGGTGTACCTTATTCTTACTGCATGGGTCCACCATCTCACCCCAAGCTGACCCATTTCCCTGTTCATATTTTCTTTCCCTTGTGTGGATGCACAAAGCCCATAGGCCACAGTGGGGGGGATCAGGCAGTTTGGAGAAGGCTGGTGACCTTTCCTTGCACGCAGCAGGGTCATAGCCAGGTGAGGAGGTGATTCTCCCTGCAGATCTGGGCTTGCACACTACCGTGGCATCGGGGTGGGAACATGTGCATGGCAGGCACGTACGTGCAAGCATTTCAAACGCTCCCGTCCAGAAATTGAAAGCTTTCTTCTAGAGCAAAACAATATTTTTTCTGGTGTATTTCCAGCTTCTGGTGCTGGAAATTGCTTTTCTGCAACTAGGGATCCTGTGGTTTAAGTTAGTAAAGATAGCTTCCCCAAGCATACCAGCACCTTGCATTCGAGATTTCAAAACACTTAGCAAACACCAAAGAACTAAGTTTTAGCACCCTTGCGAGATGGGTACTGGTGATTGTCCCCATATTACACACATAGGCACTGAAACTCCTCAGAGGTCTGCCCACAGTTTCCCAGGGAAGCAGTGTCAGAGCTGGGGGCAGCATTCAGAAGACCCAGCTCCGCTCCTTTGCCATATTGCAAGTTTCTTCCCAGATTAATTTTAACCATGAGAAATATGTGAGTTTCATAATTCAATGAGGACCATGTAAACTTTGCTCCTCAGCTCAACTTGAGAGATGAGAGTGGCAGGTCACCACAGAGGCACAGTGTCCACATAGGACTTCGGTGAGGTTTCTCTTAGTCTCTGAGGTCAGAGAGAGTGGAATTCAGCTGAATGGCCCTGCTGTGTGCAAAGAAGCTGCTTGTCTGCCTTTCCCCCCGATGGTGCAGATGTGCTAACAGGGAGTCTTACAGAGCCTGGTAGAGCGTAGCACTGCCTGCAGGTAGGCTATGAAGGTCCCGATCCTCATCGTGCCTGGGACACAGTGATGGACATCGGCGGGGAGAAAGGATGCTTGTCCATGAATACTCATACGAGGACCCTTAGGCACCCAGACCCCAAAGTCACTTGTATTTGTGCAGATGTTCCCTTTCATAGCAGGTTGAGAAGAGAAGCAGCTCTTTCCAGCGCATCATCTGGAAGATTAGCCATAAGCACAGGTGCCCATGCCTTGGCCAAGGGTTCAGGATTACCAAGTCCTCTGCAGTTACTTTCATCCCTGCCACGTCATCCTGACTGTGCTGGGTTTGCATGGGTGGAGTAGATCTTGCCCACAAGGATTGTTTTTGTGTTTGGAAGCCTTTGATGACCAGGCATCTTCAAGCAGCAAGGTTTTCTTTCCTTGGGAACATTGCAACAATATAGCTCTTTTGGGAGAATTTAAAAGATATAGTACTTTTAAAAAGGTGTTTATTTGGGTTAGGGTATGAGCATGATAAAGAACACTAAAATAGATGCTGAAGATCAGCTGCTTTCAAATATTTATTTATGGAACAAGCAGGATTGTGTAGCAGGACTTGTAGTCATTTTTGCCGTTTGAGAGTATGCCTGGTAATGCTCAATGGTATTGGAGACCAGTGCTCCAATACCTAAAATGAAATTAATAGCTCAGTTTGGGAAATAACCACTTAAGTAATGAAATCCTTTTGATTGCAGGAAGAAACACAGAAGAAGAAGAAGCTATGATGCAGGAATGGTTCATGCTGGTTAATAAGAAGAATGCCTTAATAAGACGAATGAACCAGCTTTCTCTTCTGTAAGTATGGATGAGCACATGTGTTTACAAAAGGATGATTTGCTGGAATATTTACCCATCAGGTAGATGCAAAACATTTTTGCTCACATCCCATTAGACTTCAGATATATTCCCTGAAAAAGTGAGTAGTGTGGATGCTTTGTGGAACTCACAGAGTAACTTGCCTTTCTCATATTTCAGACTTGAAAATGAGAAGCATGCACTGACACAAGATTAGCCAAAGCTGTGAGAAACAAAAAGAGATATTAAGCACAGTTACATTTTCAAAGGCCCAGCAGTAAAATAAAATTACATTTTAGAAACACACAAATAGATTTGGAGTGTGCCTCATATGTGACAGGTAAAGACTGGAGAGAGAGCAAAATCTGAGTCACTACCTGCTTTGTAGAAATCCTCAATCCCATCATTGGTAGTTCAGCAGCACTGGACTGCTGAAAGGTTATTAGTGAATCAGTCACAGTGTGATGATGCACTGATACTGCAAAGTAAGGACAAATAAACTTTCTGGCTAGCACCAGGGAGGAAGGGGGGAGATGCTGCTCGTTTTTAGAGGCATTCTGCCCTCCGTGCTTCTTTTCCAGCTCCTTTCAGTTTGGTTATATTTCTTTCAGTAATGCCACCTAGTGTAGATGCCTGCATACTTCCCTGGGAAGAGCCTGTGCTCATGTATTTCCTGCCGTGTCTGAACTTGACAGAAGATTCTACCTTCAAAATATTAAACTTTCTAATCCCTTGTCTAATTTTCACTATTCATTAGGGCAGACTGTATATAGGATAATACTTACAGTGTCATATTATCTTGGTGAATAGGCTGATGCTGGAATTTGTTCGTTAGATCCGGGGAATGTGTTATACTTAGGACATTCCACAACAGCCGCTTCCAAGGATGAATATTAAATAATTGTGTCTTGTAGCACAATAGAGTTAAACTGATGGAATTAAAGCCAACATTACAGAAAATGAAGAAGCCCTGTGAATGAATACACCACCTGAGCAAGGTTTTAAGTTTGTGTATCATTTGTTTGGAGTAGCTTAAAGTTAAAGAGAAAAGTCAGTTACGAGTCCTAAAATCAATGTGAGTTAAAGGTTCTTTTAAGTGTTTAATGATTTAGTAATTAACATATTGATGAACTTTTGCAACTTGCCTAGGGAAAAAGAACATGACCTAGAAAGGCGCTACGAACTGCTGAACCGGGAGCTAAGAGCAATGCTCGCTATTGAAGGTAAGAGCAATGCTGGGTACTGAGGGAAGGAAAATGCTTGCTGCCGAAGGTGGCTATCTGAATGTACAAAACAGGGAGGCTTTTCTGGAGCCCAGTTAAGAGTTAATGCTGGTATTTACATCATTTCCAGTGATAGCACACAGCGAATATGCTGGATCTGCAGTCCCATTCTTAAGTTGTATTCAGGGGGAGAAAATAAAAGTCTTAATGTATGGGACAAAGAAATATTGTCTCATTGGAATAAACTTTGAAAACAAAATAAGGAGGAGGTAAAGAATATTTGTCCAGGGTTTATTACTTTTGTTGCAGTCATGTTCTCCTGGCTTTCCTGCAGCACTGAGCTGCTTTCAGTGCCGCAGAAAATGGAAGGGGTAACCCGCAGAAGGGAGCCTCCTTCCTCTTAGTCTTTCTGATCTGGGTTACAACAGTATCTCACTGGGAAAAAAAAAGAGGTCTCATACGTTTGCCAAGTAAATATTTCATCGCAAGCAACACCAGGATTAGTGCGATCCTTTGCACAGATTTTCTCCCTTCTCTGCAACTCTCCCGAGTTTAGTCACCTTACCTGAATGAAAACTCACGGGAAGATTGACACGCGGGATAAATGAAACAATTGCATCCTTTCCATAGGGCTTTCAAGTGAATTGTACAATAATCCTGGGGATGATTCATAATAAAAAATAAACATCCAGATAGCTTAAACCATTGCTTGCATTATTTTCTTATTTAAATATCTTAAGTGTTTTCTAATGCTGCACCGCTTATACCTCTCAGTCACAAATGCTGTCTTATAGTTCAAAGATGTTTGCTTTAAAGTTAATCCTTTGGGCTCTGTAAAATGGACCTTTTGTCTAATCAATGCAAATTGATTTTGCTATTCTGTATTGACCTCTCAACCCTTTGACTGTCCATGGTAATTTCTTTCTTCACCTGATAAGGTACCTGATCCATAATAAATCAATTCTAATTAGTTTGGAGACTTCGCTGGGAGCATAAGTTTGTAGGAAAAAAGCAGCAGGTTTCAGGTAGCTTTTTCATATCTCTCCATCTGTGGATATATTTTTTGCATAAGGCTACTTCCACTGTATTCTTGGATAAACTTGAATCATAAATATACACATTGCTTTGTGCAGAGACAGGCCGGATTAATTGGGAATCATACTAGTTAAATATTTAAAGCATTAAATACTTTAAAACCAGAGAGGAGCTAACAGATACTGTATTTAAATCCAAAATCTCAGTGTTTAACTGCCTCTTCCTTCCTTTTGCTGTCTTGGAACATCCTAGCAGCAGCCTTTGAATGTCTCACAGCCCGTGCCATTCACACACTGACTTGACTTGAACAAAAATCTCTCCTTTATTTTCTTCTTTATAAGTTCAGAGAAGGATACCAAAACCCACGAAAGTCCTCTTTTTTTTTCAATTCCTTTATTTTTGTGTGTGCTACTGGTGACATCATAAACAGGGATTTAGGGAGAAAACCAAAGTGCTGGAGGTCGGTGATTTCCTTCTATTATTTATACAGCAAAGTCCACATTTAACATTTTAACCCTCGGTAAGGTTGTTATTAGTCTGTGAGAACTTTTAGCAGCTATCTGCATTTACCCAAAAAACATACTAAAGGAGAAACTCTCCCAAGAAAATAACTGCAAACCCACAAGATACACATTTGTGACACCGCGCCTCTTGATGTGTGTGTCAGCACTGTATTGCTTTCTGTGTCCAACATACACTGGGGTGCCAATAAGCACCTTCTGGGAAGCACCAGTAAAACCACACCATTTATAGTGTGATTTCCCCAAAGAAGCATGGGCTGCCTGAACAGTGCTCCAAGGCCGTTTAGCTCATTGCTAGTGAGCGCTTGGTCTCTGTTAAAGAGGTGAAAAGACACATCTCACTTTTACCGGCACCAATTCCAAACCTGGAATATATGGGCAAGGAGAGAAAAAAAAATCTATCTGTGACAGGAGAGGACAGGTTTGTTTGTCCAAAAGGAAGGTAGAACACACCAGCCCAAACTGGAACTTAAAGGGAAAAGTCTTTGAAAGGTGATAATTACTGGTTTGGTAAATTGCTGTAACTCTTCCACGCGTGACTGTGCTGTTTAAAAATCTATCAACCGATTTATTTAGCTGGTTGATGACAGGAAAGGGGGAAAAAAAGAGAAAGAGAGAGCCTTGCAGAAGGTAGCAGCCTGCTGATGGCAGATAAAGGCAGTTTATTGGCGGCCGGCCTGCCCTGCCTGTGCAGGCAGCGTGTGGCAGCGCTGGCGTCTGGAGGTGCTGACCGTTATAATGTTCAGTGATGTGGAGCCTGTGTCCTCTTAGCCACCGCTAAAATGGAGGCACAGGCAGCTGAATGGCCTTTTGGAGTGTCGCAGCACTTCACGCGGAACACATGAATGACCGAGGGTGGTAGAAAAAGGCATACTTTTATTTCCCCCACCCTGTTCAGCCGTAGAGATAAAAGAGAGAGCTACGGCACTGCCTTCTTCAGGCTAGACAGTGTTCCTCTCTTTCTGCTGCTGAGACTGCTCTGACCGAGCGAGGCCTGAAATCCCTGCCTGATAGGCCAAAGAAAATACAGGTTACTGGTTTGTTTTGACCTGCGCCCATGGGAAGGCATTTTGGCTGTTGGGGGGCCGGCTCCTGTAAACAAGGTGCTGCATTTCAGAGGCTGGGTTTTGCCACGTCCGCGGCGGGATGCTTTACTTCCAGCCACCTTTCCTCTCGCTCCCTGTTTTATTTATTTCATTCAAGATTTAATGCCTCCTTGGGAAAGATAAGTTCATTTTTGCACACCTTGGGGTGGTGTGTTCATTTTCTGCCCAAGAAATGGATCTTCTTTTGGATTTTGTACATCTTGATTTATTCTTGGCTTATAGTTTGAAGTGGGTGCTCTTCTAAAAGGATTTATGCATAGGTTCACTATTTTTGTAGTTATGGTTTATATGATAAGCTTTTTATATTTAAAATCAATATGTAATCCTGTGGAGGAGCTTATCCTCTAAAACCCCATTTGTAAATCTATTTTAGCTTTGTTATACCGCGCAGCCACAGTATTCCATAGATTGATTAGGTTCAGCAGCAGAATCCTATCAAATGGCCTGCTCTGATGATGATGCAAACTCTTTCAGGATTGCTAGTTGACTGGAACTAAAGATAAGACCTGACTGCAATCCCCCAATGTGCTCTTTACAAAACTAGTGTTAATTTTCATCAAAGTGCCGGGCTTATTTATTATAGTGGCGAGGCTGAAGGTTTTACTATGAGAACTTTCGACCATTTCTATTAAAGCATTTCTATGGGAACCAGCCGCCTGTTTGCTCAAAGTAATTATCAGTTTGAGAGGAGAGGGTGGGGGTAAAAAAGACAATGTGAAGTCAATGAAGATGAATAATTGAAAACATTTCTACTTCGAAGTGAATTTAGCAAACTCTTGTCATTTTAAACTGCCTGTTGCAAGCGGTAGCATGGGGGGCTTTAGCTTTCAACACTTTTAGCTCATATACAGCCTCAGAGCTTAATCCTATTTTTGTCCAGAGTGTAGCTTTTATAACAGTATTATTCTGAAATCTTCAAATTAATCACAGCCCATATTGTAGCTTCCCAGAGCTGCAGTCAGGCTGGGTAAGTGTATGTGACAGGTGCTATAGGTAATCCTGGCTTAAAAGGCACAACAGGTAGGAATCAAACTTGAGCACAGTTGCTTTTTTAAATGTGGGGATGCTTCCCGAAAGTGCTGCCCTGCAATGTTTTGTTGGATAAAACAAAATCGCAATGTAATCACATAGGAAATGTTATTTGAATACTTTGCACTAGTTCCCCTTTCAACCAACTGCTGCTTGACTGTATTTGGGGAGCGGGAATGAGGGGGGGAATCAGGCTCCTTTTCTAGGAAACAAAACAAAAATGCAAGGGAATATTTCTGCCAGCAAGTTTTCCCATAGCTTATTTCAACGCTAATAATAAACAAATGCAGGAACAAAAAAGCCCGGTTTTGTTCCGTGAAGTCCTAATATGACGTTATTTACCCCACGGGGCTACAAGATGGGACAACAAAAAACATAGTGCTTAGAAAGAGACTTAGAGAAAAATAATAAAGGACTGAGCGAAACTTGCACTGAAGTATTTTGACTGGTGTTTGCTGTTTGAAAGCTTAAATTGCTGCTGAAACAGCAAAAGTGGGGGATGAAGAAGGAAAGAAAGAGAAAAAAAAATGAAAGGAAAAAGGAAAGAAAAAAAGAGACAGAAAGAGAGAAAGCAAAAGTTAGTTTTAAAAATCAAGAGTTTTTCACCCAAGTGAAAACCATCAAAATTGCAAAATAATTAAAGTCCAGGTAGAGGCGGTGGATTTCAGGTCCTTTCTCATCCAGAGCTTCCTCTGCCCAGATGTGTTGGGGAGCCCAGGTCTCCACACAATCGTCAGCAAAACCTGGGGGAAGGTTGGGGACCACATCTGCAGGCAGCAAAACCATGGTGAAATTCTCTACCAAGCCTCTCCTTTTCTGCCTGCCTCACTGCTGTTGCCCTTTGCAAGAGGGTTTTGTTACGCTGAGTTTGCGTTGCACACACAGGGGCTTTATATTTATGGGGGAAACCCTCCGGTTTTGGAAAGCTCGGGCTTGCAGAGGTGCAGAGCGGTGTGTTTTAAACGGGTTGAACCAAAGGAGCCGTCTCCAGACGGAGCGAAGGGGATAAACAGCGATGGAACTCGAGAGACTGCCTCGAGAATTAGCACCTAAAAGGTTGCTACCCAAATTAAAGCAGCTTTGTCGCTGGAGGAATGGCTTAGATTACCGGTGATTTTGGCTAGTAGCTTCAGTTCTTATCTGTGTACACCTGGAAAATCATTTCCTTAGCAACGGGAAGCAACACATTTAAAAGAGAAAAAGAGGAAGAAAAGGAAGGAAAGAAAGGAAAATAGGGAGAAAAAGGAGGAAAAGAAAGAGAAAAAAACTCCTGAGAAGTTTTGGCAGTTCCTAGGCAGGCCGATGCTCAGGGAAGGGCTCCCAGCTTGCGAGAGCCTTCCATGCATGTTCTCCTCTGCCGAGTGTGCCCGCACACACGTGTCGGTGGGGGTCTTCCCTGCGTGCGTGGGGACCCGTCACTCACTCGTGGGCCCAGGCGGACGGCGAGGGCGCGATAAAAGCGGTTGTACATTCCTGCCTCTCTGCCGCTCTCCCAACCTTTATTGCATGATGATGCATCTAATTTTTAATTTGTAAATACAAGGCTGAATTCCCTCTAGCACCACTTGCTTTCATACAGCTTCTGAGCGGTTTGCTGTCTTGAATAAATTTGGCTTTGGAGGGGGGTCAGGGGGATTTGAACCACCGCATTCTTGCGGGGTTTGTGAAGATTCACATGGTAACCGGTGGTGAGCATTGTTCGGGTTATCTGAATAAGCACCAGCCATGTGAGTTTTAACATGATCGCCCAGGGCAATGGAGAGCGCGGGGAGAAAGCCAAAAGGACTGCACCCTCTCTCCCCTTCGCCTTCGGAAAGCGCGGCCGGGGAGGAGAAGGAGGAAGGGGAAAAGGGGGGGGGGGGGAACACTGCCGGGCCGGTGGCGACGGCTTCTCCCGGTGGTGGGTTATGGGGTTTTTTGGAGCCGGTGTCCTCTTTCCCTCCCCGCTCCTCATTTGTCCTCCTATCTCCCTCATCATCTCCTGCTCCTGCTTTTCATTGTTTACCTTCTTAATGAGGGAGGCGGGGACGGCCGGGCCTTGACTGACAGCGACAAGCCCTTACGGACCGGCTGGAGGGCCGGAGGCTGCGGGGCGGCCCCGGGGGGCTCCGGCATGCGGGGCCGGGAAAAATCCCTTTGGGAAAAGCGGGGCGGCCCCGGGCTCCGCTGCGGGCCAGCGCTCGGGGGAGGGTGTGTGTGTGTGTGTGTGTGTGGAAGCTGGCCCCGCGCTACTCTGTAGCAAGTGTATTTTTACTTCAAAGCGGAAAATGCTAATTAACTGATACCTGCTTTTAAAGTTACTGCGAAGCATATGGTGCTCAGTGTGAGATTCCTCCGGCTGCTCAGAGCAAGCGAGGAATTAGCGAAGAAGAGAGCCGGGATGTAGGGAAACGGGGCTTTGCTCCTAGGAGGGAAAACTTAGTAAATGTCGGTGCCCGTCCAGGAGAAACAGTCGTGAAAGGAAAAGTTGTTGTTGATGATGATGATAATAATAATAAAACGAAAGAAACAAAACAAATAAAAGGGGCAGGGAACCCAAACAACCCCAAAGTCGCCTCTGAGCTCTCCCAGGCCGGGTGACGGGGAGGCGAAACACCGGCGGGTTGTGCTTGGCTCTGCGGTACTGCCCGCTGGGGAGAGCGGCACGGCCGGGCCGGGCCGGGCCGTACCGAGCTGTACCGTGCCTTGCTCCCCGGCAGCCGCTGACCGGTGTGTGCGTGTTTCGGTTTTCTCCCGCAGACTGGCAGAAGACGGAGGCGCAGAAGAGGCGAGAGCAGCTTCTGCTGGACGAACTCGTTATTCTCGTTAACAAACGGGACGCGCTGGTCAGGGACCTGGACGCCCAGGAGAAGCAGTGAGTCGGGAGAACGAGCTGGGGAGGGGGGGGGTCCCCTTCTCCACGGGAAGTTTGTGACGAGTCCGCGGGCGCTGTGGCCGTGGCCGGGTGTCGTTGCGGCCGCGCAGCCCCTCACCGCGCCTCCCGCCGCCTCTTTCCGCAGGGCCGAGGAAGAGGACGAGCATTTGGAGAGGACCCTCGAGCAAAACAAAGGCAAGATGGCCAAGAAGGAAGAGAAATGCGTCCTCCAGTGAGCGGCCTTCCCGCGGCGGTGGCAAAATCACAGCGCGGCTCTTTCTTACGTTTTTAAAATGCCGACAGGAGACTGGAAAGGAAACAAAAAAAAAGGAAAAAAAAAAAGGAAAAAATGTTTTGAAAAGGGAAAAAAAAATTAAAACTTTTTCCATTTTCTTAGGCCAGATCTAGGCTGCGCCGGGCCCCGCTCCGTTGTTTTTTGGTTTCCACTCAAGCGATCTCGCGTTGTGCCAGGGTTTCCGTGTGGGCTCAGCTCTCCTGCCGAAAGGCTTTGAAACGGAATCGCCGAGCCCCCGTGTGTGCGGCGGTGCCGGAGATGTACGGAGGAGCAGAAGAAAGAAAGTGCGTCCTGGATGCTGTAGCTGGAGGAGGGCTGAGTTTTGAAATAAATATGTTTTTGTCGTAATAGGATTAGAGAGGGGGATATAGGAAAAAAAAAATCATTGGGAACGTTTTCATCTAGTCCTGCCATATGTAATACTTAATAAGCTACCTACATTTTATAGTTAGGTCAGATCCACCCCAGTTATTATGATTAAAAATGTGCTGTATTTACCAGTGTTTTATTTCAGCAGTTTTACATGTCCCCGGGAGCAGAGCTGAGCCGCTCTGCTCTACTCGGGGGGTTCCTCCGCCGGAGTCAGCGCAGAGCCCGGGGAGCGGCAGGGACCGGCCCGGTGCCTCCCCCTGCGTCCCCCGCGGGCCCGGGCCGCCGCTCCGCGTTATTTATTGCGCCCGGGCCGCGTCCACCCCGCGCCCGCCCCCCCCCCCCCCCCCCCCGTCGTGTGTCCCCACGCGTGTCCCGCGCTCGCATCGTCCCTTCGTGGAGCTCGTCTCGTTTATTTATTACAATACCGAGTCATATATAAGATTTTCAATAAAAGCCGACTCTTTCTTACCGTAAACTGCCGCGTTCCTCTTTACCTGGGGTGCTCCTTCCATCCCTCCCTCCTTCCCTCCAGCGCCGGCTGGGGAGGGGGTCCCGGGCCCCGGGAAGGGCCCGACTCGGCGTGGGGCAGAGGGACCCCGCCGCTCCGCCCGTACCGCAACGAAACCCACCAGAGGGAAAAGTTTTTCGTTTGCTTTTAATAAAACGCAGCTCGCGGAGGGGGAAGCGAAACTTCTCCCGACGGGGCCGATGCTCCCGGCGCGGGCGAAGCCGCTGCCGCGCAAGGAGCGCACCCGCGGGAAGCGGGGCCGGAGGGAGCCCAAACCCTGCAGGGGCTCGGTTGCCGGCTGGGAGGTACCCCCGGACCCCAGCATCGCCGGAGGCTCCGGGTGCAACTGCGACCCGCTCCCACCAAAACCTCACCCGGGGAGGACGGGGCGCCCGGCCTTGGGTGGGCGGCAGGCGGGCCGCGGGCTGTGCCGGTGCCCGCCGGTGGGTTTGGTCCCGTGAGAAGTTGGGGGGGATGCGGGGAGGGCCCTCGGCCTAATCACAACAATACAGATGGGGGGGGGAGGTCCACGGTCGCGGGGAGCAGCGGAGGGGAGCGGAGAGGGGAGCGCGGCAAAGACCGCGGTGCTGCCTGCCCGGGGAGCACCGGGAGCTGCTGAGCCCGAAGCTCCGGGAGGGGGGGGGTCCCGGTCGCACATCACACCCCGATACCCCGCGGGGCCGGTGCTTGTCTGTCTTTAACGCGAGAAAAGTAACTCAGCCCCCGGGTTGAGGGGAAAATAAGTGTGTGAGTGTGCGTGTGAGTGTGCCCTCCGCTCCCATCCCGTGTCCTGCCCGAGCTGTCCCGCCTGCCCCCCCCTCAGCAGCAGCCCAGCCCCCGCCCGCAGCCCCGACCTTACCTGGGCGCAGCGGGGAGGGCGCAGCTCCGTCCGGCGGAGGGGACGGGACGGGGGGGGGCCGGAGAGAGCCGGGACCGACCCCTCGGGGGGCGGCGAGCCCCGCGCCCGCCCTGCCCGCAGTCCCGGCAGAGCCGGCGGGGAGGTGCCCGCAGGGGGGGTGCTGGGCAGCCGCGGTGGTTGCGGGTGGGTTTGGGGGGGGAGGCATAGATCTCCCGGTGTGGGGAGGGAGCCCCCGGGGGCGGCCGCTGGCCGCCAGGACCGGGGCTGCCCCGGCGGGAGAAGTGATGGGGCGGCGGCGGGGGAACGCAGCCCTGCCGGGAACTGCCCCGCAGGGACCGGGGCTAAACAGGGGGGCCTGGAGGGTGGGGGCAACTGTCCCCCTAAATCATTCCTCCTCCCTCCTCCTCCTCCCTTTGCTTTTTGTGAATGGGCCGCGGCGCCTTTGTTGCGGGGAGAAGTGCCCGTGTCGCTGACTTTTGTGGGCAAGCGGAGGAGCTTGTAAACCTCCTTTTCTCTGCCCCCCTCGGCCCATCGTCACCGTCCCGCCCGGATCAGACGGTTCCGTCCTGGCCCGGGAAAAAGGGGAAAAGAGAGGGGAAAATAAGAAAATGGGGGGGAAGGAGGAAACCAGCGCTTTGGTGGTGCCGGCGGGCAGCGCCTTTGAACATTAGCTCGCTTTCAGCTCCCACTGCAATTAGAGGGAGTTGATTTGGGGAGCCCAACAAAAGCCGGGGCCGGGGCCGCTCCGCCGCCCGCTCGGCTGCACCGCCGCGCTCCGCGTTCCCCACTTCTCCGCCCGCCGGTCGCTCCGCTCCGCTGTCGCCGTCGCTGCGGGGAAAGAGTCAGGCTGCGCGGAGCGGTGCGGAGCGGTGAGTCCCGTCCCGTCCAACCCCTTCCAAACTCCCGCTCCCCGCCGCTCCCGGGCCCCCCTTGGCGCGGAGCAGCCGCTGAACGCGGGACTCGCAGTAAAGGTGCGGCCGCTGCTTCTTTATTCTTATTTTAAAGCACAAAGTTTGGGCGAGTCTCCAGACACGGGGGGGGGGGGGGGGGCCGGTAGCCCTCTTCCCCCGGCTCCCCGCCGCTCCCCGCTACTCCCTGCAACATCCCCGCCTCCAGCAGCGCCCTCCGCGCCTCCCCAGGCGGCCGCCGAAACTTTTCCGCGGTCCCGCTGACGGCGGGCTCGGAGCAGCGCACGGGGGTGCCGGGGGAAGGGGCCGAGCTGCGCGGGCGCGCAGCGGCTCCCCCCGCACAACTTCTCCAAGCATTCCCACCCGTCCTCTGCACCCCCACGGAGGTTACGCGGGGCCCTGCGCGCTCACCCCCAGCCCCGCTCCACCCGCTGGGCTCCGACACCCGCTCTCCGCGCCGCCGGGGTCGGGTCGGGAGCGTCGGCGGTGGGTGCGCGGGGGAGCGCGGAGCGGCGCGGGGCGGGGGGGGGGGGGGGGGACGCGGAGGGAGCCGTCGCCCTGCGCTGCCATTGCCCGGGCGGCTGTCAGTCAGGCGGGGAGCGGCCGGGGATTGGCGCCGGGCTGGTTACGCAGATGCTTTGCGCGCACATACAAGGGTAGGGCCGGGGGTAGGTGATCAATCCTCATCAGGGCCGCGGCTCCATCGCCCCGACAGCGCGGGCCGCCGGCAAGGTAACGCGGGGCGCCCCGGCAAGTTGGGGGTGCGCGGGTCGGCCTCGGGCATCGTCCCCCCCGCCCCCTCCCCAGCCCGCCCCCCCGCCCGCCCCCTCCGCGCCCCCCGCCCGCTCCGCCCTGCCCCGCGCACAGCCCCCGCCGCTCCGCAGGTGGCCGCGCAGGTGAGGCGAGGCTGTGCGGCGCGATCCGCGCTCCCCGACGGGGCGGCCGGCGGCGGGACGGAGCGGAGCGGAGCGGTCCGGCGGCACCGCCACCAGCACTCGGGGTGCTTGTGTCTGTGAGTGTGCGATGGGGGGCAGTGGGGGAGGGGGCACGGCCGGGACGCGGCTGCCCCGGGGTTTTCCTCTTTCTCTCTTCTTTTTTTCCCCTTCTTTTCCCGTCCTTTTTCCCCCTCTCGCCGCCCGGGACCGTCCCGCTCCGCCGCGCTCATCGGCAAAGTTATGCAACGCCGGGTCACGGCGCTGCCGCCCGCGCTGCTCCCGGTCCCGGCCTGCCACGGGGGGCTCCTCACCCGCACCCGAAACTTACCCCCACACCCACCCTCGCCGGCCGGGCCGGGCTGCTCTGCCCGCGGTGCCCCCGAGGGGGGTCCCGGCCTCTGCAGCGGGGGCCGCCCCCGGGGCTCGGCGGGGCCGCCCGGGGTCTCTCCGCCCCTTCCTCCTCTCCGCGTTTATCTGCCGCTTTTTGCCACCGAGCCCGGCCGCTGCCTGCAGCCGGCGGCCGCCGGGTCCCGTCTGTCCCCCCCACCCGGCTCCGCCGGAGCCCCCGGGCCGGGCTCCGCCGCCGTCCCGGCGCCCGCTCGGGTGCCTGCGCGCTCCTTTTCCCCTTTTTAACTCTTATCCATTTCTAATTAAAACGTCCCGTGTGCTCGCTCTTACATTAATTATTCTTCCCTCCTCTGATACCTCCTTTTGATTCCTAATCCAATTATCTTTTTAAATAATTGCTTTATCTCTCCCCATCGCCGGGCACTGTTGCCTCTCGGCGCTTGGGCGCAACTCGCCTTCGTTTGCAACAAAATACCGCTAATAATATCACTAATAAAACTCGCAACTGAAGGCCGCCGGCCCGGACCACGGCGCCGGCTGCGAGCAGCTCTGCGGCGGCCGAGCCCCCGGGGTGCCCATCGGCAGGACTCGGGGCGGCCGGACCCCTAACCCGCCTCTCTCCGCTCTCTCCCCAGGCGCTCCGGCCTCGCCTCTGCGCGGGGAAGAAACCCGACTTTTTGTTTTCCGATCCTCGTTGTTTCATTTTTTTCCTCCTTTTTTTTCCCCCCAATTCCTTTGCTGCGATCGCTCGAGGACCTCGCGGCGGTGACTGCGGGACGGAACGAAACAACCTCCTTTTGCACCTATTTTGTGCTTCATTTCTTCGATTTTCAATTGTGGTTGGCTTTTGCATTTTTTTGCCTCCTGTTCGGGGTTTTTCGGGGGTTCTTTTTGTTGGGGCTTTTTTTTTTTTTCCTCCTTTCCCCCTCCCCACACTTTCGATTTTTATTTTTTATTATTATTATCATTACAATTATTTCTTTTTTCTGCGGAACTTTGGAGGATCCCTGCCCGGCTTTTAGCATGATGTCGTACCTTAAACAGCCCCCTTATGGCATGAACGGGCTGGGGCTGACGGGCCCCGCCATGGACCTGCTGCATCCCTCCGTGGGGTACCCCGGTGAGTGCCGGCGCCGCGGACCTCCCCATGCCCCGATGCACCCCCTGCTTCAGCGGTTGGGGGAAGCTCTGTCCCCGTCGGGTTTTGGGTGGGCTGTAGGGTGAGTGCCCCCATTTGCCCGCACCCCTGGCCAGACACAGCAAAGTGGGGGGGACAGCGCTGGGTCCAGTTGAATTTTCCTGGGGCTTCTTCTTTCCCACGGGGATTTTTAAGGATAGAAAAGCTTTAAAACAACAGGAAAAGCAGATTTACTTCAACACAACGAAATCTCCCCAGTGCTCCCCCCGGGGCCGGGCCTGCCCCTTCCCCAGCCATGTCCTGCCCGTTGTGCCTGCAGCAGGGCAGTGCCCGCTGCCGTGAGGCCGAGTTGTGTGGGGGGCAGCGCGGTTCCTTGGGGTGGGAGGCAGGGATGCTTCCCTGGCCCTTATCCCGCGGGGTGCCGGGATTCCCACCGTGCCCGGGGCTGCGGGAGGTGTGTGGGGACCCGGTGTGACCGCCGCAGCGATGCTCGTCCCCAGCCACCCCCCGGAAGCAGCGGCGGGAGCGCACCACCTTCACCCGCTCGCAGCTGGACGTGCTGGAGGCACTCTTCGCCAAGACCCGGTACCCCGACATCTTCATGCGGGAGGAGGTCGCCCTCAAGATCAACCTGCCCGAATCCCGAGTCCAGGTACAGGACCTGTTGAACTGGGCTGGGGGGATGCGGGGCATCCCGGCTCTCGCTCCAAACTCATCCCTGTTTCCTTGGGGATGGAAAGTGTGTGAACTCCCTGTCACTTGTCTCTCCCACCTGGGGG